CGGATAGTTGAAGCAACAGCTAAACCGATTAAGAATTTAATCAAGTTGATGAGAACATTCGTAGAGTTTTATCCTTCACCAGAAGAAATAAGTTCCGAGCAGGAAAATAATAAGCTTTTACCCGACATTTTGAGAACATTCTTGGATATAATAATCAACAAAAAACCTCAAGTTTGAAGAAAAATTCAATTGAACAGGCACACGATCTATCATAAGTTCAATTCGCCTATGATGAACTTTATAAGCTTGGGTTTTCTGTATCATAATTATGATGATGTACGGAAGTACTTGCAAAACTGAAGTAGATGAACCTTGTGGAACCAGATGTAAATGTCGACGATATGGAATTTTTTGCACAGTATTGTGCAATAATTGTTCGGGAAGGTACTAATATTCCAATCGAGGAAGTTGAAGATAATGAATGAACTTCTGTTACATGCCAAATATGCCATTTTCATTAGGTTTATGATTTATACGTATTTACGAATAAACGAATATTGGAAACACTGTATTTTTATTTTGCACACAGGTATCATTCTATATTTCCTCATATGTGTTATTCTATGCATTCTGAACTGAGAAAAGCAAAAAAAAAATTTGTGGGAATTATTTCCATCTGAGACCATTTTTTATCGCATATCTACTACACTAGTATCTACTGCGACTATTTCAAAGCGAATATCCAGGAAACTGGAAAATGGACAAGTGATGGATACATCCTCATTGTGATAGAATTATACAGAGTCTCAATTCTTCACGGAATTCAAGCACAATATTGAAGTGTTCCAATATCTCCTATACCAATATATTATTCCACCATCGGCAAAATGCCTACGCCATATTGTGCATGCAATATTTTGTGACAAGTCAAAACGTGTAGATCTATTTCTCATCGGCTCACCCCAATATCTACCCTGGCAATAAACCCTCTACGAAACTTCTTTCATGGCACAACTTCTTTATGTTTACATCAAATTTTGCAGGGTCAAGTAGGGCCATTTCAAACGATTTTTGAATTCTCAATTCTCTCCCGGCCCCTAGGCACATGTGTTGTCAGGAAAATTTCCAATTATACATCAATCTCGAGAAAAAAAGGATTCTCTCTCGAATACTCGGAAGAAATGAGTTTATTTTATATGAATGATGATATACATTTTCAGTGACCTGTCTTTTCATTGTAAAGACGGCAATACTTTCAACTATCATTTGTTTCGAGAACCATGATTCTTGAGTGATTCTTGATTTTTCTACATGAACTTGAGAAATGATGAGGCAGTGAAAACGTCAATTCAAAGATTATCATTCAAATTGCATTGTACACCGATAGTAGTGTTTTCAACATGAAATTCAGTATTCATCTTTCTCAAATATTATTCATCATGAAGTTTTCGAGCATCGGCTGAGAATAGTCTTGCACATTCACCGTTGCCTTTCAATTAACAGTGCTGCTCCTGAGATGGCGTATGGTGTTAGCAACAATACCTGCATATAACACACCATTCAGAACACAATCTGGGTCGATAACCAGTTGGTACGTACACATATACATACCAACAAAATACAATACTACAACTACAACTACTACTACTACTACTACTAAATATCATTTGGATATTTTGGGTGCATTCTTGCTATTGAGGCTGACACTTAACTATTCCTTTTTTTTTCTTGTTTATAGTTGATTGCCTGAGCTATATTTACCTTCGTAGCCTATTTCTTTGTATTTCAATAATCCAATCTGTTCATTTCTGTATGACAGAAAAGGCACGACGTTCAACATCATTTTCTAGCTCTGACCTCTGTAGATTCGAGATGAAAGATATTCTTTCCGAATTACTTCAGACAAGGGCAAGATATCCGTACATATTTTATGATGGCAGGTTTAGTCGGGTCTTCTGATGAAGAGCCCACTCTATAAATAAGACAACCCCTTAATGTCCCAGCTTTGTATATGTCACATAACCTTTTCAGATCAAGGAAAAGGAAAAACTAATTTACCTTTCGAAATCGAAGTCTGGATAGATCTATCGTGAAGATATTGCTTGTTTTCTATACTACACAAGCAAAAGGATATATCAATGCACAATAGAATTCTATAGTGCATTCCACCAGGTTTAGTTCCGTATACCTACATATAATCTACATTTAACATACATATAAAAGGTCATTTACGGAAAAACGCTCAGACGAAACATTTTTTGTCAGTTTTACCCCATGAACAGAGACCCTCTAGCGGGGGTGAGACTCACCTCTAAAATCTTATTTGGAAAAGGGGGTCGAATGATATCTTATATAATTTTGGAGGTACTTTCACATAGATTATAACCCCCTAGCTTCACATCGCTACTATCCACGTCGCCATACAGTGGCTAACCAAAAAACTACTAATTCAGCTTGTAAAAATTGCGTGTTGAAATCCACATTGAGAGTTATATACGCAAAACTGATCAAGTCCAACCATTAATTGAGCTTCTTTATCAATTCACATAGGCCACAATAATACAAAATATTCTTTTTTTCAATAACAATGTAAAATTCCACTGCATGTGCTACGTAGTTAGTAGAGATATAACACTAGGTGAAAATACCTTCTGGATAAGATATCATTCCACCCTTCTTCTCATTTAAGCTTAAGGAGTGAGTCTCACCCCGGCTAGAGGGTTTACGTTTAGGAGGTGAAACTGGCAAAAGGATGTTTTTCCTCGAAATGAAAAATTGACGGGTCCGAGCGTTTTTTCATAAATGACCTGGCCCAAAAATTGGCTGTTTCATTTCCAAATGGCCAGGCAGGTGTATATAATTCTGATGACAATGCATCATGGAATTTTTGTTGGACAAAAAAGTAAAATGGCGGCTTCAAAATGGCGGATGAGTTTTTAAATTATGATCCGATTCTTTTCAAAATTGGTATCTGGAAGTTTTAGGTCGGAAATATGTTCTTTTCGTCAAAATTTGTAAATTCAAGATGGCGGATCCAATATGACGGACGAGTTCTGAAATCTTGATCCGATTCTATTCAGAATTGGTATCTGAGGGTTTTCATGTTACATATTATAATTCTTTCATCAAAATTGGGAAATTCGAGATGTCAGATCCAATATGGTGGATGGGTTTTGTAATTATATGATCCGATTCAATCCAAAATTGGTTTATGGGGGTTTTCGGGGTCTGAGGTTATGATGCTTTCATCGAAATTGAAAAGTTCAATATGGCGAATACAATATGGCGGATGGGTTTTGTAATCATGATCCGATTTTATCAAGAATTACTATCTGGGGGTTTTCGGGGTAGGAGATGATGATTCTTTCGTCAAAATTGGGTATACGAATAAAAAATATAAGAACACTGAAAAACACGCTTTTGTCGTTAGCCGCACTAAAAAATAGAATATAAATAGTAGTTTAATTAACTAAAGAAACACCTTTTTATAGATAGCCAAACTAAAAACAGGTAGAAAATGAAATAATGAAAGTTTGTTGATAAATACACAACATAGAATGTACTGATTAGGGAGGTGCTAATATTTTCTATGTGGTGTATTTATCAACACACTTTTATTATTTTATTTTCTATCTTTTTTCAATTCAACTTTCTATAAAAATTTATGTTTTTTTAGTTTGTTGAACTACTATTTATTTTTTTAAGTGCTTCACATATTCTCTCACACATTTTGTAATTCCTCGTGAAAAGCAATCAATTGGGTATAAAGAAACAGGGAATGCAATCGCGAATTTTGAATGACTACGTCATTTACATGGTGATACGAAATTTCAAAAATTGATCTCTGAGGTTGGTGTAGGTACACACATTCCCATATAATGAACTCTTATGTGATGTGAATATTTGTTCGATCTGGAGTAGATCACTTTCAAAAATCATTTCGTTATATAGAATCACCTGGAATCATTAAATGTTATAGCGCTGTTATGTTCACTCGTTCGTCGATACTCAACATCGTCCTATTCGTCTCACATCGTTTATTCAATAAGGAATAACCAAAATTCCATTTTCAACACTCATTTCAATTTTTGCACTCTATACTCTGAATATATTTGAGTATCTTTGGATTGAAGATTGAATTATTGATTGAATGAAAATGTTGTAAGAAGATATACCACGAATTTTTCATCAGGATACGTTGATTATGTTACAAGTTCAACGAAAATTACTCAATAAAAATGTACCTACAAGGTTTTTTCGTGGAAAAAAATCAACTAAGTGACCATCGACCGAGAACTGTGGTTGGGGTTAATATTGAATACACAAAATCGAAGTCCAGAGAAAACAATGCATATGAAGTTATGACATGAAGAGAAAAAGTAAAAGTATTGATCCGAAATTGGAAATAAAATAATATTCTTCCATCCCTGATAAAAAATGTTGTTGAACGCAGTGACATTTTGAGACAAATCCTCTGATTTGTCCTACTACACATATATTGTGATGATACTCATATTTTTATTTCATACAAACGAGGAGAGAAAATCAAATAAAATGAATGTACCACCTCCTCGATCAACCTACAGCTCATGTTTTTTCTAAGTAGACTTTGTTACTAACTCCATACGCCACCTAAGGAGCAGCACTGTTAATTGGAACGCAACATAGAATCGTGCGGAATGATCTCCGGCCGAGGCAACGAAAATAGGAATTTATAACTCATTTTCTGAATAAAAATTCTCTGTTCTGTCGAGGAGTCGAACCTAGCAACTACTCGATGTTTTGATTACTAGTCGAGCACCTCAACCACTGCGCTTTTCGGCCGTTCATTATTGTTATAAATAGTAATTAATACAAAAGTTACGGGGTCATTTCTTTCCGCCCCTGAGTATAGTTGAAAATGTATTCAATAAATGCAGTAATGTCAGAATTGCGAGCTCCCAAACTGATTGATACGTTATGTTGCAGTTTCCCCCATGATAGTTATGTACCCTCCGTCTTTTTTGTATCAGAATGGAGAACTCCCAAAATGATTGATACGTTCTGTTGCAGTTTCCCCCATGATTTGGGTGCCGAATCAGCTGGTCGGTGCCCCGGCTGGGACTGACGTGACAATAGACTGCCACACCGAGGCGTACCCGAGGGCCATCAGCTACTGGGTGTACGACAATGTCATGCTACTTCCGACCAAGAAGTATGGAACCGAGACGATGGAGAACAGCTACAGAGCCCACATGAAACTGACGGTGCGGAACCTTCAAGCCGGAGACTTCGGCAACTATCGATGCATCTCCAAGAATTCTCTGGGGGAGACGGAAGGATCCATTCGGCTCTACGGTAAATAAAATATACGGCTGTCTGAGTCGCTGGCGGATCCTTCTCGTTTTGAGAGCGTCACTTATCAATTGGAGTGGGCGGTTATTTTCTACGGTTGAAAAAAAATATCCTCGGTTGCTGCATCGAAACTTTTCACGGATTGGTATCGAGAAAATTCAAAAGATTAATGGATTCTACCGTAAACGTACCTCACCAATTATAACTCGTCTTGATAAAAGAATCACAGTTCAGAGAATATACAATCGTATATCGTAAACTGTGCTCTAGAATCAAGAAATAGTTTGTTTCAGAAGGCTCACGGTTTTCTGTTATATGTATATATGATATAATAGGAAATATCGGAGAGTTCAGTCAATCGGGCTACAACTACAAACTACTTTATGGCTATGCCAAGCTTTCTAAAATTTTTAGTTTTTTCTTCAAGGCTGAAACAATATATGGTATATGAAACATTTTGTTACTATTCAATTCAACAAAAACCAGAACTTATTTGCAATGTGAGTTAAACGGTATAAATTGGAATAATAATCAGTATAAAAAATATAGATGATATAAACATAAAATTGATAGGACAGTGACAAATCATACAATTTATATACAGGAAGGAATGAAGTTTTAAAATTAGATTGTTGTTGAATATCTTATGAGGTACCTATAGTCATTTCAAATATCACCATGATCAAAAGATAATAAATAAGAATATATCTGACTGAGACTATCGATTTCTGTGTTTTTATTCATAGTATATTTTTCATTATTAATTTCAACCATCTATAAAAACATCTTTTTGTTGAATTTTCTTCCGAATGCAAAATTTTGGTTTCCTCTTATTTCATATGATGATTATCATGTGATGACGTGCTCAGAGAGTCCACAAGTACTTTTGAGAAGTCTGCAATCACTTTCACGGCCAGATATCCTAGATTTGAGATTCTGAGTAGTTTGACCAATATATTTCAGATTACAATCATTAAAAGGAATGCAATAAACTACACATGATATGTTCAAGGTAGGATTATCTATTCTTTATATGAATAGTGCCTAGAGAGATTGATGCAAGACGTTGGCTACACATTCTTTCGCACCATATCAATCGCTTTGTGAATGTTATAATAATAATAATAATAATAATAATAATACGTCTTTATTCACAAAAGTATACATACAAACAAGGATCCAAGTGGAGATACGATATTACAATAATTATTAATTATTGGTGAAAGGGCGGAGTGTCAGCCCAAGCTGTTTTTAAACTCAACCGTTGTACACAAGATGATAGCACAAAAAAGAAGAAAAAAAAAAATAAGTGGTACTTAGTAAATAGTGGTTAGTCAAGGATATGGACAGTCGACAATCCTTAAGGCTGAGGTTCGGTATTAGGTAATTTTGGCGTCTAACTGAATTGCGTATAGCTTCAACCTTTTCTTGAAATTATTAATTGTATATGATCTAAATTCACTGGGGAGTAGGTTATAATGTTTCGGTGTACGAGAAGCTGCGAGTGAAGATTGCAGTCTTGTGTTTGGGAATGACTTGAATAGATTTGTTACGAGTTGCAAATCTATTTGAATCTGAAAACTATGTCAGTTTTCTTGAAAGGTACTCAGGCGTGTTTGTCGTCAGTACATTATGGGTGATAATCAACAGGTGCAGAGCTCTGAGTCTCTCAAGCTTGAGCCAACCTGATTCCTTTATAGCTGATGAGATGTTTTTTTGCAAGTTATTTTAATTCGATTCGAATTGTCACTGTGAAATAATTAGATTGAGTTGCGTTTTATTTGTTTCATTTGGGTAACGGTGGTGGGAACCGAATGACGTTGCAGAAGAAAATTCTTTTATTAGAAATAATGAATGAGAGTTTATATTCATATATTGGGGCTCCGAATAATTTCAAAATCATAATTCTAGAGTTGAAAATCAAAAAAATGAATCGACGCATATCTGGAGCAGTGATTGAAGAAAGTTCTCTGAGATCGCGAGAATTCATCTCATCTGGGAATGAAGATATGAAGTCTGTCATACTTGAAAGATTCAAAAACTTGTGATCCCCCGATAAGAATGCCTTTCAAATGTCTCCTCCTTCCCAGAAGTTTTATTTCTAGTCTTATTTCATTTTTTGACAACTGTCATCTGTCATTCCACATCATTTCTTGTAGTGAGACGGAATGATTCCGGTGGCGAAAACGGATGAATAAAACGCAACTAATCACTTTGGTGAAAGAAACTTATCATTTCATGAACGTGTTAGAGCGAGATGACTATATTCTTCACTTTGATTCGACTAACAATGATTAATTCAACACGTTGAGAATCCAAATCGAACAATTTTCGCTGCCAAAGAATTGGGAACCATATCCAATGAGTTCGACAAACGATAGATGAGCAACGAGCAGCAACCAGCTTTTGGTTGGATACAAATATTTTCATCTTTTCTTGTTTCACGAGCAGTCATACCGATAGTCCTCTCTCTTTCACGTGACTTTTAATATTATGTACAAGGGCGGAAACTCTATCTCGTTGTGATTATTCGCCGAATTTTAACATAGGTGTATTTCACAATATCTAAAGAAGAGAAGAATCAATTTAACCGTTTGTATTTCGGTAGCAAAGAAATATACTATATAGATACAACGATGAGTGCCCTCTGTTGTTCATCCATCTTCAGAGCACCCCGTACTCTATATCGCAATGGGATTTTTCTCGCTTTGTTACCAACCTGTGCATCATCGCATTTGATTTTTCAAAAAAGGATGGCATTTCTGCAAAACAGTGTATGAGTTTTCCAATTTTCAAATTAGTTGCGTTCCGTTCCCGGGATCACCTTTGACACACTCTGTATAAGTATATCAACATTCTCTGATATTCTGATTCCAGTGGAATTGCAAAAAAATTCTGAAATCGACGAGAAAATTTGAAGTTAAAGAAAAATGTTGTGAATTCAAAGAAGAATGTATAGATGAAAATGAAATACACAATACCGTAGCGTTTCCACGGTTTCGTAGATTTTATCTGTATTGTGGAAGAGTCAGCTTGGACTGGAAATGAACATGACCGGATCATATAAATAACAGGTAGTATCATCAGAGTTCTGAAATATCGACCCATGAGGACGATAATACCTTATACAGTGTAGCTGAATATAGCTCCGAGCTATTTTATGCTCTGGTTTTCAAATTCACAAAGTCATAAAACGAAACGATGTTCAGATGTTATAATGAGAAATAGGGCAATGGGCCGAATTTATGGAAGCATCGCATTAGAATCGAATGCTTACATACCCTGGAACATAATTCATCAACCACACGAAACCCTGACTTCTCATCAATGGAAGAATAAACGGAAAATATTCAATTATCGAGACATGCCCCGTGTGATACGTTTTAATCTCATTGTTTGATTCTAACATGCAAAGGCTTTTGTGAGCACGATAGCCATGGTTTATATTATATCCTGAACTTTCTCTATCAATTATCGATACTCATTGTGAAAAGTTGAGGGGACATAAAATGTCTTCGACAGAACTGAATATCGGTTCGCGAACTAACGGAGCTCGGGAGTTCAAAGTCGTTATACGGTACGGAAGTTCGTAAGTTTTAAATATTTATGTTTTTTCTGAATGACATTATCGAGCACTAAGGGAATTGACACTCACCAGATTATGATATGCTCATCTATACTGCCGTCCTAAGCACAACTCCCGTATCTACAAAGAAGCTGAAATGGAGTAAACGCATTGAACAGTGAAATTTGATTGCTGTCGTTTACTTGAGCATCATTTTGGGTCGGATCAGTATTTTTGTATGTCAAAAATGTTCTGGAATCGATTGAACCGGATAACAATCCGAAAAGTTATGTTTCTCAATATGAAAAAGCAGATGCGATGTTTTTGCTGAGGATTGTACATACATATTTCGCATACTGTAAGAAACTTAAACCATGTTGCTAGGATACGGGGAATTAAAATGGCCAAAATTACTGATTTGCAATATAAATATCGGTTTCTGGATGTATAATAAATTGATATTTATCATACAGGATGTGGAAATAAATTCTGAATTGAGAAAACCTAATCACGAATCTGCGATTGAGGTCTTCTTCTTCTTCTTCTTCGAAGCACTGGTGGGCGGGTGAACCCCCTGCACGTGGGCCTCCTTATTCGGGCTCATTGTGCGCCCACATGTTTCGACATTCAGCTAGGTATGCCGACTGCCTTGGAGAAGTTCAGCAGCTTCCTCAGCTGAATCTCTTTTACGTCCTTTGGCCTCAAAATTATGTTGCCAAGGACAGCCCTCCTCTGATGCGTCAGTGCTGGACACTCAGTGAGGACATGTGATGACGTTTCGTCATCTTCCAGGCACCATCTGCAAAGGGGGTCATCCTTGATCCCAATAAGCTCTAGGTGCCTATTGAGGTGGTTGTGCCCCGTTAGGAGCCCCATTTCAAGGTTTCGCCTGTTTAGGAATAAAACCTCTTTTGCGAGCCTCTTCGAAGGTTTCTTTATGATTGAGGTCTTTAAAAATTACAAGTTTCCATCGTTCAATCTTAAACCCCTTGATTAGGTGAAAGTATTGAAAAGCAATATTCCCAGATATATTTATGAACACAAACAATATGGATACATATATAAAGATATACATTGAGAATTCGCATTCTCCATGTGATGAAAATATTAATTCTTTCTCGGTTTATTCAACAGAAAACAACTACTTTCCTGGCTATATGACACGACGAACATGGAATTATATCTATTGAACACAGACTGACGTTTCGGGGCCGAATCTGCTCCCGTTCCCAACATGAAAATGCAAAATATTGCTCTTTGGAAGTTGTGCTGCTTATTGTTTCACACTTTTCAGATTTGGTCCCGAAACGTCCAAAGCTAAGTAAAAATTCGATATTTTTTCAATATATCTTTATTTCTTGCCTTCAAACATTTTTTCAAACAAATTGTCACTGAGAAGCTACTGGATTTTTCTTTCAGGCTCCCTGATTGATGACAT